ATACACTTGTTATAGAGCAATCTTACTTCAATAAAAATTTATGAGGGTAGAAGTAAGTATCAGTATGATCAGAATTTATCAGTTTAAAGTGGGTTACACTTTTTAAAAAGCACAAATTTTCAAGTTTTATTTTAGAAGATCTGCTTAAATGTTATTTATAAGAGTCATACTTCTTACTGACCCAATAAAGTTAAAAGGAAAGAAATGGAACACATGGTTTATTAGGCAGATACTATTAAAAAATAGAAGTAGTGTTGCAACATGACTACCACTAGATAACATTTAAGGAAAAAGCAACAACAAAAGAAAGAGAAGGTCTTAATATGATGTCAAAGGAAAGATATATAGAACAGGAAGACTGTATGATCCAACAAGATAGCCTCTGAATATAGAAAGCAAACTTTGGCAGTACTATGAAATGAAATTGACAAATTCAATAGAGTAGATGTTTGGAGATAATTAGGTATATAGAAGATTTGAATAATTCAATTAAAAATCTCAAACTGTCAGACACAGCAAAACCCTCAATCCTCAAAAATAGGAACTTTAAGTATTTAAGACCTGTGGAACGTTTATAAAATTTGATCACATATAGAAACCGAAAGGAAGTCCAATACCTCCAAATCAATGGCATGCCACAACATAATCATACTAGAAATACCAAAAGCCAAAGTAAGTCTTCAACAATTTATGAATTAGAGATGAAATCATGGAAACTGCCAGATACTTATACATGAGAACAAAACATGTGACATGTACATAAAGCAGAATTTAAAGGAAAAATTGCAGCTTTAAAAATTGTCAAAGTGGCCCTCCCTGGTGGCACAGTGGGTTAAAGCACAGCACTAAGAAACTAAAAAGCTACTACAGCATGAGTTCGATCCCCGCCTGCCCCGGAGGTGACCACATGGTGTGGCAGACCTCTCCTGACCCGCCCGCTGCTCCCCTCAGCAGTGTACTTCATCGATCTGCCTGTTCTGCTCCCCACTCTGTCTCAGTGAAGCCTCTCACCACCCCTGCACCTCTGACCTATACCCCACTTCTGTATGCATAAATAAATAAATCTTTTAAAAAAAATTGTCAAAGAACTGAAATTTAATTAAAAAATAGCAAGTTAGTAAAAAGCTAGTATAACAAATTCAAAATAGAAAGCAGGAAATAATGATGGCAAATAATAAATGAAATTATTGAAATGGAGCTTTAGAGAGAATTAAGAGAATTTTAAGAATTGACTTCTTAAAAATGTTAATAAAGTAAATGGAACTCTAGCAAGACTAATAAATTTGTAAATTTATGTAAATTAGTGTTAGACTAACTAAAGTAAAATTAATTGCAGATCCAGAAGCTGAATCAAAGGGTAGGTACAAGGATGTCTACGATTTTAGGCTGCTAACTACTTTATGTTAAAGAATTTCATGATGAAAAGATCATCTTCACTTGGGTGTAATCCAGTCTTAGTCTAGGCATTGCCCATTGCCTGCCATCTGGAACATACTTTAAGAGTTACCAGTCCTCTTCTATTATTACACATCTAACTCAAGTGACTCATACATTCCTGCTTTGTATATACCTGTTACAAAGTTGAAATAACAACGGTTGAAGCTGTGGCAGTGTAAGCTGTGAATGTTGGGAGTTTAGGGAGAACAAGGTCAGTAAATGTTACAGAGAAAACACTCCTGACCACATGGGGCCAAAAAAAAGTAATAGATACCCTTTGGACAGAGGTAGTAACTGGCCCAAACATAGCTTCCATGAAAGAAACAGGCTTCCTTGAGACCTCTTATATCTAGCCACCCCAACATTGTCCAATGACCTTTTATTTTCAGTAGATGTTACTGTTCAAATCCTTTGGCAGTTCCTAAACTTCAGAATATGTGTGTGAAAGAAAGTTTGGCTTGACCTGAGACATAGACAAACATTTATGAAACTTGAGTAAAAATGGAGGGCCAGCAGGTCCTGGGTCTGCAGCAAAGGACTAGATTTCCTATTTGTTAGCATTTTTCACTTTTATTCTAAGAAAAGAGAAAAGACATTTTGTTTTGTTCAAATGAATGTAGACTCAATCTATAGCTTTTACTATTCAATTTCAACTTACTGACTTCCTCTCGCAAGCTTCCTTTGCTTTGAATAGTGTTTTATTCATTATATTCAAACCACTTTTAAAATAGTTTATTGGCTATGATTCTTAATTCTGATAAGCACATTATTCTAGAATTTATATTGTGAGGAAAATTATGATATCATCACTTTCTTTTTCTTAATATTTCCTTTCCTTCCTTCACAAAACAAATGACCTAATTTTCTTATGTCCTAGGGTATTCTTCTTCTTTTTATTTTTCAAAGAGCCTTTGTTTTATTATATTAGCAAAGAGTTTGCATGTAGTTTCATGAGGTCAGTAATTTTCCGTAGGATAATAATGCTTTTGTTTGTGGTATCTGGCCATCTATAGATTAATGATCTTTTCCTCACATGAATATGAGAATTAGCAGGGTAACATCTTAGTAATGACCATACATGTGGAGATGGTGCTGCCTTTTCTATGAGACACCTGAGAACATCATAGATATCCTGAAAGAATGCATATGCCTTTAGCATCTGCTGAATGAGTGGCCAACCAGAGAGTGTACCCTTAGAGAAGTTAACCATATGCATGACCTTGATGCATGTGTTTGTCACCTCCAACTGGCCAGGCCTTACAGTAAGCTGAGAAAGCTGAATGAGCTTACCAGGTACCTTGCAATCTATTTAACACTATTGTTTAATACAGAACTATTCTGTTCTTTTTACAGCAAGGTGATTGGCTATTTCATATTTCCAACATTTATACCATTTAATCACTTCTCTCAGAAATGATTGAATTCCACTTAAACGTAGGTGAAGCACATGCCTAAACCTTATTTGGTTACTACTATTACGTTAACAAGATGAGTAGTAACAAAATAGCTTTTGTAGTATTTTCAGTAGAGACTCACACCAGAACCCTTTAATGTAATACATTCAGGTATTACACTTTTAAAAACAATATTTATTTATTTATTTATGCATAAAAGAATTGGGATGTAGGCCAGAGGTGCAGGGGGTGAAAGAAGTCACCAGAGACAGAGCTGGGAACACAACAGGGTGATCTGCTGAAATACTGCTGAGAGGAACAGCAGGTGAGATAGGAGAGGTCTGCTGAGCCGTGTGGGTCAGCTCCCTGGCAGGGGATCAAACTCAGGCCACTGCAGTGACAGCATGGTAGTGCTACGACTTAACCCCCATGCTACCAAGATGCCCCCAGATATTTCACCTTTCTTTTTTAATTTATTTTTATTGATTGATTTTTTTATATCATTCTTCATTTTGTAAATTTTTTTTTTCATCTAAGCTGTAATCTCTGTGGAACTCCTACCACCAGTTCACCCACGTGCCATCACCATAGTTCCTGCGCTCTTCCCATCCAGTTTTGAGCCTATTCCCTTCTCTACCCCCGTAAAATGTCTCTGGTTTATAGTTGTTTGCTGTTTTTCGATTTCTAACAAAAGAAAAATATATTTTACATTTTAAAGATGAATTTGATAGGCCCCATAACTTGCTTAGGTTACAGAGTTAGTTGAAATAAGGCTTGGGATAATTCCAATGCTGTTTTGGGTTTTCCAAATGTCATCTCTCCAGTTGCAGGGCAAACAGAGGTTTATAGATGGTTCTTAAGTACATGAATGTTGCTAAAAGCATGCATTTATAAGATTAAGAATAGGTAATAGGGCCCTCCCTGGTGACGCAGTGTACTTTGTTAATCTGCCTGTTCTGCTCCCCACTTTGTTTCTGGTGAATCCTTTCACCCACTAGACCTCTGGCCTGTACCACAGTTCTGTAGGAAGTATAATTAAAATAATTGTACTTGAGTTTTTCTTTTGGATTCTGTGTAGTGCTTATGTGAGGAAGATGTAACTTCCTCATTTCCACAGTACTTACTAACATTTATCATATCTGTCAGTGTTCTTACAATCCTGAACTTGATAAAGAGTGTAATAATTCTTAAAAAAGAAAACAAAGCCAAACATCAGCTCAGAACTTGGTTAAAATAGGTGTGTGATGTGTATTCATTCTTAAAAAAGAAAACAAAGCCAAACATCAGCTCAGAACTTGGTTAAAATAGGTGTGTGATGTGTGTTCATTCTGTTAATTACATAATTTCCAATATGCATTTTAGTTTGTATCTATATAGGCAGTCCCTTAGCCATTCTGCTCTATACTTGGGAATGATTCCACTGGAGGACTTGAAATACTTAATTTCAGGGCAGCATTTGACAGTTTCAGTCTGGAGTCTTCCTTTCTTCCCTTGCAGAAGACTTCTGTCCACCCTGACTTCCCTATCCCCACAGTAGACAATGAGTCCAAAGAAGATCTCTGCTTCAGTTTTCAAAATATGTGAGCTGGTAGTATCATTTCCTGATTATACTACATATTTTTTTCTTGTTTAAAAAACCTTCAATTGTCAGCTTAACCTGTTTTCTTTTGAAATGGACAAAACATTTACCACAATTGATGAGCACTATTTTAGAAAGTTTTACATTTCAGAAATGCTTTCTTGGTTCAAAGCTACTTTGACACCATTGAAGTCTCTTAATCTGACCTGCCTTGGGTAAGCTCTCTATGTACAAATGCTTGGTTTTAAAATACTCACCTGAAAAAGGTAAATGTTTTTGTTCATTTGTTTGTTTTTCCTCAAGTGTTCTTTTCCAGGCTAATATTTGTAAAGACATACGCCTTAGTTTTGTACTTGTTAATTTACCTTGGAGAAAATGAGGTCATCCTCAAATCTGGCAACATGGCCTGTAGTACTTGGCAAAATGGCCTAATTAAAAGCTTCCCTTTGATTGCAAGAAGAAGGAAAAATGATTAGAATCAGTAATGTTTTCATTTTCATGCTTTGTGTGTATATAGGTAATGTCATTTCTCATGTTGCATTAAAAGTATGTTGACTGTCTGCTAACAGTTCATCTCTTATCTTCCACAGCCTCCAAGTCTGTTATAAATAGTATGTTACGGGACCCTTCTCAGATTCCAGATGGAGTTCTAGCAAATCAGGTCTATCAGGTATTAATCACAGCTGTCTATTTTCAGTGGCAATGCTGTTATCTGCCTAGCAGAGTAAAGGATTTTAAACCTCATTTAATTACTGTCATCATAAACTATCATGAGGTCAGGGTGCACCATAAATGGCAATGCAATATTTGCGAGAAGAGCATTTCACTTTTTAATAGCTTGCTTTTATAGTGAATAAAAAACATGCAATTTTTGTTTTCTGTGATTAAATCTGAACAGCCTTTTGATAGCTTTTTAATTTTTTTAAGAAAAGTAATTACTGCTTTTATGATATTGTTTCACTGTAATAGTTTTTGTAGTTGTCCCACCCCAGACCCTTTCTCTTATTTGTCTGCAGTGCATTGTGAATGACTGCTGTTATGGACCACTGGTGGACTGCATCAAACAGTATCCTCTCCCATAAAATTTTAGGTGCACAATTGACGAGCTTAGGCTCACTGGAGGAGATGTGTCTAGCTTTAACCTGACATAAAGTTCTGCTTCACAAAACACATTTCATACTCTTCTATTTTACATTCAATCAACTGGAGGGTCAACTGCAGACCATTCTTTTCTACAGCTTAAGAAAAATCAGATAGACCAGGGGAAGATGTCAGTTCAGCAATTGCACATTCATGTGCTTATTTCAGACGGCTCAGTTTTCAATGAGTTTAAAGGTACAGAGTCATTAGGCAGGTAGAATGCCAGTCTAGGAGTGTATCTAACCATTGTAACGAACATCTAACATTATTTAACAAAGTTCTGTTACAAATAAGCCAAATTCAGCTGTGTTTACTAGAATATATTTTAAGCCTTGAGTTAAAGGGTGATCTGATTGAACTGCCACCAAAGACCATCACATTTTAAAAGGCAGTTAGGTTCTTATTTTTTGAAGTGCTGATTACAGTCTGAACTGTCATTTTGTTCCCTAATAAATGTTTTTAGAAAAACAAAGCTAATTTTTCCCTCTGGACTGAATGGTACTGTGAAAACAGATGTCTTTTCATTTTTTCATTAAAGACATTGAGATTACTAAAGAGTTAATGAGTTAATGCTTACTTCTTAAAACAGGATTTAAATGGACAGTAACTGGTTTATCAAGGAGGACATTATTAATCAGTGTATTTAGTTTTGTGACAGCACCAAGAATTTTGACAGCTTTGGCTCAGAATGCTTTTTAATGTGTAAGTAATTAGTAAATTTTAAAATGAAAGTGATTTTTATTTGAGTCACATACAGCCTTCATGGAATAGGTTTTGCTCATGTGTGTTGTTGCTCTGTGACTTGGTAGTTCTAGTCAGGAGAAACCTTTGCTAGCCAAGAATGTGCATGCGTATGTATGTGTGTGTAAGTATTTTATTTACCTTGTTCAGAAAGGCTTAGGGTAACGAGAAATTTTTAAAGAAACTATTTCTTTTTCATAGCTTACCTCTGAAAACTAATCTCAAGAATTTTCTGCTGGTTATAGTCAAAATTTACATATTTATTCTTTAAGTCTGGTCCCCCAATCTAGCTTAAATTAATTAAATTGTAGTGTTGTCAGAAGCTTACCTTTTTATTACACCAACATCAAACTATTCTACTTTCAGTATAAAATTAATGATGGTGTTAGAAATTGTAGGAGTGCAACCTCATGTTGCTTTAGTGATAAAGTTTAGCACATTCATATAACAACCAACACTATTCAGAGTATGTGGGATGGAATTACATGTTAATTTTAAAGCACATAAAATAGTTAAAAATCAATTTAAAGTTAAGGTTTTAAAAGCATAATGTCTTTTGAAGGATTGCATATTGATTTTAAATATAACTATCTAATTATATATGCATGGACTAAAGTATGAAGTCAACTGCTTTGTAAATGCCAGGAGGCTATTTTTCAGGAATAGTTGAGATGCTTACGGGAAACTAGATTGCTGTATTGTTGGCAGAGAAAATGGCTTGTGAGATTATTTACAAGTTTTGCCCCATGGTCACTGCCATACATCAATAATAGGTATTATTATAGACAAAGTCTAAGTGTTTCTGCTTATAGAGCATTATAAATTCTGTTTGGAGTATTTTCCTTACATTTTGCCATCATTCACTTTCCTTTTTTGACTGTGTACTGCCAGTAGAATTTAATGTCATACATGATTTCAATTGATAAAGATAATGATGTATGTCTGTAAATTGCATTCACTGACTAGATTATAATTTTGCTGTGCCATTATGCTTATTGCCAGGAAAATTACTGTTTTTATAAGCTTCATTTTCCAGACCTTGTATTTTATATATGTTTAGCTCAAGCAGAGTGTGATGAAGAGGTATATCTTTCCAAAATTTCAAATTGGTGATTGTAGTTACTATGCAATAAAAAAATATACCATGCATAAAAAAATGCAATAAAAAATATACTATGCATTAAAAAAATTAAAAGTTTGTCTAAAAAAAAAACCTGAATTCTTTGTGTTGAGGTAGCAGCAGTTTCATATAATGTGAATATACTTGTATGGGTGTTTCCTAGGCTGATCACAGGAATTATTTATTATTTCACACTGAAGAAAGCTTATTGGTTTTTCCTGTGAGTGGAAATGCTATTTGTACATTGTTCTGATGATTTGGTAATGTTTACATTGCTTACTCTCAGTAAATTACATCATTTTGTAAGAAAGAAAGTAAGAAAGCACACACTTAGTAAATAGAATAGGTACAAACCCTTTTTATTCCATTAAGAAAATGTTGCATATAGACATTTGTATAAAATAGAATAAATAGAACATTTAATAATAAGATACCACAAAACACATAGTAGCAAAGTATATAAATTGCTATTGATTTTGCTTTCCTTTTCTTTTGGTGTCTACTATATTTTTTCCTATGTCGCCATGCCCACCCACACCTTTCCTGCCATAGGTCACATTCACTGACACAGAAGGTGTGAGAAACCAGCCACCTCAACTTTCCAAAGTGTGCCGCCAGGACACAGCTATTCGACAAGGACCTAAACAGAGAAACAAGGAAAGATAATGATGCAGGAAGCTTAAAATGCTGTGGGTTTCATTTCTGTATCATCAGTAACCTCAGTTTCATGATTCAACATCTTAGATGTAAATAATTTACAACAATAAAAGTGAGAGCACATTTATGTGGAATAGAAGTAAATTATTTAGTTCTAAAATGTGGGATGCCCCTAGTAATGAGAGACCATTGAGAGGGATTCATCAAATCTCTTCAATGGACTCTAGTTTTTTGAAATTTTGTGATTTAAAAATCTGTGCCCTTCATTTTGCTTATGGTAAGAAGTTAAGTAAGCATAACCATGCTAACTGTAGGGAAGAAGAAGGAGCAACAGAAGGAAAAATGCAGATTTGATGGTTTTAATGATGTTCATAAGTGAACACATCTCTGGAATTTTAAAATTTAATGAATTTCAGCATATGTTGAATAAAGAACATGATTAATTCTCTAGGAACTTTTTTAAAACAGGTAATATGTAAACTTTACTTGATTTTAAAGTGGATTCTTGTAGCTTATGATCAGAATTAAAGAATCTTTGGTAAAGCAGAACTGGTAAGACTAGATTAACATCAGTGAAATAGAGAAATAATGTTATGATTCAGATAATTATTACCAAATACTTTGTCAGAACTAAAGGTCTAGAATAAGGTTTTTAGACTTTGTGCAATCTCCAACTTGTGGGAGGCAGACCAGAATTCTAAGTCGCATACCTTCATTATTTACCTGTTATGGATCTGTAGCACACTCCTCAACTTTCTGAGCCTTACTTGCCTTAGCTGTAAAAGTGGAACTAATAATAAATACCTACTTGCGTGATTATTGTGAAGATTAAATAGGAAGATACCTCAAAGTGCTTAACACAAAGGCTAAACATAGTATTTGAGAAATATTGTCTAGTATCAATTAATTTCAATACTTCTTGAGAAGCTGTGTGGAGGTTATAAATACAGGCTTTGAAGAGGTCTGTTCAGAAGCTCTGCTTTGGGGCCTCCCAAGTAGCCTCCATTTAAGTCTCAGTGCTATCAACACTGTGCCTTGAGTTCACTTCTGGTCAGAGAAGTGACCCACATGGCATCGCACACCTCCCCTGTCTTACCCACTGCTCCTCTCAGCAATGTATTTCAGTAGATCCGCCTATTCTGCTCCCCATTCTGTCTCTGGTGAATCCTCTCAGAGTCCCTACTCATCTACACCCCAGTTCTTCTATGCAAAAATTAAAAACAAACAAACAAAAAAGTCCTGCTTTGCCACACTCACAGCTTTATAAGTTTCTAGACCTTGTTTCCCTCATCTGCAAACTAAGCATGATAATGACTGTGAGGATGAAGTACCTTATATAAACTTAGAGAGCTTTTGGAGCACCTCATAGCAGGCACTCCAAAAATGATGTGCCTTTATATGTAATGTGTGTAGAGGCATACTGTACACATGTCATAATTTGTAAACAATGCTCAAACATGAGAAAAAGACTTTTGAAACAGTCTCTATACCCATATCCTATCCCACAGTTTTTAACTAAGATTTCTTTTCTCCAGATTGCATGTAATTCTCAGCAGGTCAGTGTTTGTGTTACAGCTTCCCAGTCACAGGCGATCACCAGCAGTAGACTGGAAGTGAAACAGGAGCTACTAAATGCTGGCTGTGTGACAAGTGTGAATTCACAGAAGATTTATGGAACTCTGTAAGAGTATAAAGTCTTAGGACAAAGGCTGGAGGATGATCTTTGCTGCACTTAGTAACTGCTTAATAAATGTGTGCCAAATTGAACTGGGTGATTTTAACATAACATAAAGTATATTTAAAATGATTCTCACTCTTGTCAAAGGAAGTACATATCCATTTACAAATCTTTATTTGCCAAAATACACATAAACTGTATAGAGAAATTCCATTGAATCTTTCAAATGAGAGGAGTTGTATGGAAGTCTCATTTGTCAGAGATGTGGCCTAAAAGTTGAAATAGTTGCTATAATTACATGTTTTCTGCTTCTTATAATATTATAGACCAGGTATTAGCATTTTTTTTCTGATGATGTAATGCTCCCTGTGTTACCCTCCTTAACTAAAATTTCCTAGTGCCATTGGTCATGAACACGAAGTCATGCTAAGAGACTTGCTTCTAGAGAAAAACCTGTCCTTCCTAGGTAAGTATTGCTTGCATCCTCTGCAGGTTGTAATATTTCCATGAGTGCTTAAATATATATTTTTAAAATCCTTCCACTTGCAGTTATTATGTACTAAAGGAAGAGTGAACAATGATTGATGCTGTGCATGTTATCTTTTATTGATTTAGAACTGAGCAGGAACTCAGTTACCTAATCTCCTATATATATATACAGCACATGCACAGACTTGCAATTAATATTTTATAGAATAAGTGGCTGAAAAAATGCTTTAATATCTGTTGTAGTATTACTTTTGGTGTCATGAGATATTAACCATAATCTCGGCCTTATGAAAAAAAGAAACAAAGAAATACTGTCTATAAAATGCTTTATATATTAAAAAGAACGGTTACAAAAACTCAGGTATATTTGCCTGAGTAATACTTTTTTACTTCAGAGTCAGATATTAACCTTTTATTATTTTTATGCTAAACATTAATCATCATTACAGATTTGCTATGATTTTAAAAAAATCTCACATATGACATGTGTTTGTGTCCTAATGAGGAATCTTACACAGATTGTAATATTTTTCAGTATCTTTTAAAGCATTAAAAATTAAGCCTCAAAGGACATACATATGTTAATTGATAACACAAACCATAATGCATCCACAATGAATTAATTTCTATTCTTTATTTTAAATGTGAAAATTTATATAGGGAATAAAACAACAAATTGTTTTATTGAAGACATTTGTTTAATATAGGTACCTAAGAGTCTACATTATGTATACTTTTAGATAAAAAAAAAATCAAAGAATAATTTCTGTTCCAAAATGGACAGAGTATTGGCCAACAGAAATCAAATGAATAGTGTTAGGTTTTGTTTGGGGAATGATGTTGGATACAGTCCTATAAGAACTATTGTCGGTCTTACTATTTCATATCTTTAATAATAAACTGGAGAATTGAATTGAATGTGTTATTAGATTGTTGATAATTTGAACATAAATATTCTCCAACTAAGGTTAAAGAAAGTTGATAAATTTGCAGATGTCTTCAAATGATTGAATTAAATTTCAGTACATAAAAGCAGCAATTTTTTCATGTGAGAAGGACAATATAATGTTCAGCTTATGGAAAGAGAGTAAATTGGATAGAAATCACACATCTAGTCAAAAATAGAATGTCTAAATATCTTAGAATCAGTTGTAATGGATGACCTATGATTAACCATGAGATGCATTCTAAAACTTTGTCAGTCTGATAGTATTATAAAGTATCTGGTCATATTGATCACACAGCTAGTGGCCAACATGGCACTATTTTATTGTTTTAAGCTTCCATATTTTCAGAACTGCTTCGGATTATTATCTTGTCACCATCTATTTAGGAGTAAACAGGCCCTCACCCCATTTCTTTGCTTAGCCAGCATTTCTCTGCTTCCTGAGGACTGGGATTGGAAAAGACCAAAGGGGTTGTAAGTGTCCTGTGTTTAGTCCTAAGGCCTCGATTCATTTGATTATGGAAAAAAGAGTGTTAGGTTGAATTGACTATGGTTGACAGAGGCAATACAAAAACAGTACATCAGGCACCTATATCATGTTATAAACAAGGCAATACAAAAACAATACATCAGGCACCTATATCATGTTATAAACAAGTGCTAGTTACTCCAATAAAAAAAGTTTTTAAAAATTGTATATAGAAACATGTCCTGAGATTCATAACCACTTGCACCCAAGTTCAGAAAAAGAACTTAAATTGATGACTCCCATGTATTCCACAGCACTTATTTTATTGAAGCATACTCAAAGATGATACCTGACTGATCTTTCAAAATAAATTACTTATAGGCTGTTTAGCTGACTCTGTGTAACCTCAGTCCTGTTTTGAAGCATCTCGTCATAGCATACAAAGAAGTTGTTCATTAATTCTATGCATTTTAGCATTTTAATGTTGCACTGAATTAATATGTTTGTTTACGGCTAAAAATGAAAATTCAAAACCTTGTATGAAATATTGTTGTAGGGTTATTCTTTTACCTTGTAAATACCCCTTCACAATGATTAATTAGATCTAAAGTACTATGCCAGGTAAATTTAGATAGATCATCATTTTAAATCCAACTGTGGGAAAATATTGATATATAAATAGACCACTAATATGATCTTCTTGTTTACATATGTACACCTTGAATTTTGTTGCAGAGCTGTTGCAAACATGTTTGTTTTTACTTCAGTTCTTTTATAAGCAAAAGTAAAACCTCTGTGTTGCTTTCTAATCTGAACTACTTTCTAAAGACAAGGATTCTTATTGCTTGTATGTTAAACCTTCTTAAGAATTATGACTTCTCATAATTTTTATCCCATTCTAAATTTTCCACCCATTGCGTTCATGTCATTAATAAAGTACATGTATCACCTGACCTCTGTTGTCAATAAAGAGGGAAAAAAGTAAAGGTCTTCTTAACCTTAACTATTTCTTGAATTTCCTTGACTGCTAACACTGTACTCAGTAGCTACTGTGACATAACCAGATATTATTGGAAAGAAAAACAAGTGGGAATTTTTATCACTGTTGGAATTAGTCAAGTGGATTCATCCTATTTCGTAAATTTATCCATTACTTATCCAAAACAAAAAGGGTATATTATGTATTAAGAGAAATCAAAGTTAAATAAATGACTGTAGTATCTCCAACTGAAAAAATAGATTCTATTCATATATTTATTCACTTATTCCACAAATAGGTTATTGAGACAGGTGCTATTTTTGGCAACTGATATGAGTCCCTATTTGTTGGATTTATGACCATGTAGGGAGACAAAATGCAAAGAAATAAATACAGAAATTTCCTAAAAACTTCTCGAGGTTCTTCTAATTCTTCTATTCATTATTCATTCATTTTATTCTGCTGGCTTTTGTTGAGTGTGTTCTCTACATGCTAGTTAGTATGAAGATGATGAGCTGTAGTCATGCTGTCCAGTGCTCACAGCTGTGCACACCATTGCTGTGCCCATCCCATTAAGAATGCAGCTCCTTCTGTAGTGTATCTCACATAGTAGGTGCTCACTTGATTGTCTTGATAATGGAAATACACATATTGAAGACTGTGCTATTTCTATTAGAAAGAAAGGTACTTCTATTTGAAAGAAAGGTACAGATTGCAGCAAAAAACAAAATCAATGGTAACCACTTACCTCTGGAGAAAATGTTCCTGGCTCATATATAAGCTGTGTTTTTTGAAATGGCAGTAGGGTGTTACTTGTTCATCTGTTCTCTCTCAATACCACTTTGCATTTTCCATGTTAATCTGGAATGCTAGTTGAGCTCACTAGCTTGGCTAACTTATCACTAAACTAACCAAACTTTCTTTTCTTTTAGTGGTTCAACAGACATATCTTAAGTTATTGCTATGGGCATGGTAGTTCAACAGACATATCTTAAGTTTTTGCTATGGGCAGGCATGATTAGGGATTTTTTTTTTTTAAAGATTTATTTATTTGTGCATACAGAACTGGGGTACAGGCCAGAGGCTCAGGGGCGGTGAGAGGCCTCACCAGAGACAGAGTGGGGAACAGAACAGACAGATCGACGAAGCACACTGCTGAGGGGAGCAGCGGGCGGGTCAGGAGAGGTCTGCCACACCATGTGGTCACCTCCGGGGCAGGCGGGAATTGAACTCATGCGGAAGCGGCTTTATATTCTCAGTGCAGTGCCTCAACCCGCTGCACCACCAGGGAGGGCCAGCATGATTAGGGATTTTTAAAAATTGGATTAAATAGAGCTTTACATGAAAAAAAAATCAAGTCATTTATTTCAAAGAATGAGTAATACAGAATTAGCATTTATTGATAAGCATATCAGTATTTATTGATAAGACATGAAGATCTTGCTGCCCACTCCTAGGTTACAGGTTTAGATCACAAAGAACCTTCTTTAAACTTTAAATTGACCAATAAGCATTGTGATTGTCCTTATCCTCTCTGCCAAGGGTTTGATTTATTTCTTAGATGAAAAATGTAGAAGGGATATTTCACCTACTGATGGGGCTATTTTAACCTGTAATTAATGAGACCATCTTTTGTTTTCTTTCTTGCTTTTTATTTTTTGGCTGGGGGTGGCGTGAGTATGGAAAAAAAAAACTTGGACAAAAGGCAAGGAGGAGAAAAGGAAAGTAGTGACAGTGAAAAGAAGACAAAGTGATTTATACTGTTAGAGAAAAGATGAAAAATCCCTACCAAACACTGAAAATCAACCCTCACCCTCAGGTGGCCAGCTGTGGGTCAAAGGGGCTATCATCAGTAACTTCCACTGTCACTGTCCCGTGCAAGTTCTTGTCAAGTCTGGTTTAATAAGGATGGCTCTAGAAGGATTTTCTTCTCTCAGTGAACGTTGCTCTGAGCAAACAATTATTTTGAGTGACACCTGAGAGTCACTCACTTTATGCCTCCTCACCTTCCCATGTTTGGTCTTGCCTCAGGACAAACCAGTATACTTTACGTGGGTGGTTTCCATGCATCCCTGCATTACTTCATGGGACTCCAGGAGGGTATAAAATGGAAAATAGACTTAGTGAAAGATGTCCCTTGCTGTGAGAAATTAGGATCTTTGTTTCTAAGAGTTCATCTGTTCCTGCTGCTTTATTCCTCACCTGAAGCAATAGTGCTCTGTTGGGGAAGTGATTATGATGTGACAAACAGGGGATTATGACTTAGGGTGAAGAATAGGCCTTGGGAACAGATGAGATTTATAATACCGAGATTATGTTTACATGCAGATGTTAGCAGTAGAAAATAAAAGACTGGAAATAAAACGTGAGAGGCCAAAGGGAACTGAGACAGTTGGGTAATTTATAAGGTATCATCTGTTGAAATTCCCGGGCCCTCCCTGGTGGCCCAATGGGTAAAGACGCATCACTGCAAGCTAACCACAGCAGCTTTATTGTGAGTTGGATCCCTGGCCCCAGAGGTGACCCACATGGCGCTGCAGACCTTTCCTAACCTGCCCGCTGCTCCCCTCAGCAGTTTACTTC